GATATTACTGACGAATTTCTCGCAACACGAGACGAAGTGCTTCCGGAGTTTGATGAGATGTTCAGTTCCGAAAGAATAAAAGAATATCGGGAAAAAAATGTTCAGTTATCTACAAGTGGGTCTGCATTGCAACTCTCTGATAATGCTCCTCCAGCACCAGTTTTTCCTCAGATTGGAGACAATGTAAAGACGTGCATGAGGAATAATTTATTACCTTCACCAGCAATATATGATCTTTTAGCACCGGTTGATCCAGCAAAATGGGATAAACTTATGGAACACCTAGAGAAACATAAAGACGTTCCCACTACCCCAACAGCGGCCCATGAGGGTGAGTTCTACAGAATCATCATCACTGAAAGACCGTGGAAAGACAAAAAATATGGATGGCTGTATGATGATGTAAGTATTCCTTACAGTTGAGTTATAAATTTTATGTGACTGATTTACGTTTTCTTTAAGGCTGAGTTAAAGAGGACTAAGTAGCTTAGTTTATTATTCTTTATGGCTGAGTTTAGTATACTATGTGGCTGAGTTTAGTATACTATGTGGCTGAGTTATGTGTTTTGTTACGACTGAGTTATAGATTCTATTATATTGACTTGATTTTGTGTTTTTGCGTAGCATGTTAGTTCGTTTCTGCGAATCCTCATCAAAAGGTCCATGCGAGATCCCAGCCCATTCTGGTCCAAGCGCATTGCATTTATTGACGTCTGGTTTCTCACTTCTTGGGTTCGCGATTACACGCAGTACAAGCTCAATCCTAAACTGATGAAATTCACCGGTAATGGCTATGATGATTTAATAAACGGTAGGATGCCCGCATACTGTTGTACAAACTTGAAGTGGTATGAGGATGTGGATCAACTGTACGGAGTGCTTCCAACAGGAGGCGATCATTGGGTGGCGTTTCACGTGGATCTGCATAATGAGAAGATTGACTGCCATGATCCTATCATTGGACACGTCACAGCCGAAAGTGAAAAGAAAATGGTTGATGCATTTAAGCCTCTTACGCAAATGCTACCTTCGATGTTGAATCAAAATATTCCTTCCAAACTCCGAAAACAGAGAAAGAAGCAGTTTCGTTCCGAAGGAGGAAAGACGATTACATTCCCCAAAACACCCAAATTGGTGATTGTGGAGTGTATGCATTGAAGTTTGTGGAATGCTTAGCGCTTGGCGTGACTTTTACTGGGATAAATGATAGGAATATTCAAGGTATACGGGTGAAGATGGCAGCAGAGATCCTGGATGAAGGAGGAACTGACTTATATTCCCAGTTTGATTAGCATTTGAACGATTTGTATATTTTTTTGGTAATGGTATATTTTATATAACCCAGCCGCAACGTTTCTATAATCCAGCCGTCTAACCTTATATAACTCAGTCATACCACAAACATACCCTAAAATCAAAAAAAAAATTAATATAACCCAGCCGCAAGGTTTCAATAATCCAGCCGTGTAGCCTTGTATAACTCAGTCATACCACAAACATACCCTAAAATCGAAAAGTTTAATATAACCCAGCCGAAACGTTTCTATAATCCAGCCGTCTTGCCTTATATAACTCAGCCACATCACAAACATACCCTAATATTTAGAAATGTACTTTAAAAAGTTATTATAAATTAATATTATCAGTTTTGGATGAATATTTAATCAACACAATGTGTATACTTCATTGAATTTACAAGTTTCGGATTGACCATGATCTTGAGGTATAAGTTGTCTTACAAATACTTAAAAACTTATGTAACTATATAGGTGTTGAACGCACCAAATACAAAGTACCATATAATTTTTTTTTTTTCAATTGAATTTGTGTAATTTCTTATATTTTACAGTGGTACCTAAACCATAAACCCTAAACCCTAAAATCACTTTTTTGTGACAACCCATCCCGTGGAAGCTCACAGCGTTGCAGCGCATCGACCTTAATCCCTCATCGTGGGAGGAATTGCCTCCATATCCACCGGTAGGTTATTGATGCGCTTGGCATTACTCGAACCAAAGACCTCCACCCTTTAACAACTCTCCACAAGATAAGCGGTCACCAATTGATCTGCATGTCAATTGGTGACATCTTATCTTGTGGAGAGTTGTTAAAGGGTGGAGTTCTTTGGTTCGAGTAACACCAAGCGCATCAATAACCTACCGGTGGATATGGAGGCAGTTCCTCCCACGATGAGGGGTTAGGGTCGATGCTCTGTAGTGATATGAGCTTCCACGGGATGGACAATTTTTAAAGTGTTGAATATACAAAAAACTAATAACATATTTATCTGGAAGTCTTCCATAGAAAGTCAAATTTCTGACACAGATTGGTCAATTGCAAAATTAACATGGTTGTTGGTTGAATTGATGGTAATGACATTTTAGTGATTAAAGATGAAGATGAGGATGAGAGAGTAAAACACTCATTCTCAAAAAAAAAAAAACATTAAATACAAATAATGGCATTTTTATAGATAATCAGAACTTCTAGGGTGGATTGGGCAAATAAAATGTCCAAAGAAAAAAAAGGTTAGTTTTGTGTTTGACTTGAAGTTTTGAGTCATTTGAAAAAAACAAAAGTAAGGGGGATTTGCCAAATATGTCTCAAAACTTGATTTTAAATGCAAAAGTGTACTCAAACTCAAATCAAATGCAAAATTAAGTCAAAAGGCAAGTGAAATTACAAACATCCCCTCATAACCAAACAAAAAAACAGGATTGTAATTTACCATTATAACTTTGCGAGTGAAAAGACTTTCAGGTAAATCTTATCATGAGAACACTTACCTGAAAGTTTTCTCATGCTGAAAATCTTAAAAATAATTTATAAATTTAAGAAAAAATAGTTTGGTTAGTAAAAAATCATAATCATGTAATTATTGAAATTTATAAATGATGTAAATATAAATTTAATAAAACTGTATCTTATTTATTAAAAGAGAAGTACCATTTATATCTACTACAAAAAAGTCATGTTGGACCATCTCATTAATATGACATATTTAATTATTTATATCAATCAATCAAATATATATAATTTGTGGAATATTTTAATAATTAATAAGATATTAGTAATAAATTTGTTGAGAAAATATCTAACAAGATCTTACTAAGAAGTTTAAATATTTTTATAAAATATGAATTATTTAATTTCATGACTAATATATATAAATATGTATATTAATGTTAATTAACAATAAAAAATGTTATATTTTATAATTTAGTTATATTTTATATTATATTAAAATAAAATTTCTGTGTGAAATGAATATAAAATATAAATTGGTAAAGGAAAATATTTTATTTTAAAAATTTCTTTTATTCAAACAAATAAATAATTATCACTCATTTTTAAAACATATTAAAGTTTTTAAATCATATAATACTTTTATACAAAAAATGTTAACATATATTTTTGTAACTCACAACAACTATATTATATAAAAAATTATATATGAACATTTTTTTTATTTTAAACTTACAACAATATATTATATAAAAATAATTAAAATTATAAGTTATACAATTATATAATATATAACAATAGAATGTAAATCATATATATTTGAAAGGTTTTTTTTATATTTTTATAAAATGAAAAAATACCCGCACGGATGTGCGGGTTCAAAATCTAGTAGTTTTTAAGATAGATGAGTGAATATAAGTTTGTCATGATATTCTTTGGTTTAGGGTTTGGTAACTATGTTGTAGTATAGTATGTGTTTTTAGGGTTAGATTGTGGAATCTTAACATTTTCTTTAAAAAAAGTAAAATTTAGCTAGGGAAGTTTACTTAAATGACTCAAATTAGTCTACTAATTACTAGAATAACTCATTACTTTTTAAAATTACTAACTTTTTTTTAATGTCGAAACTTCCCTTTCTAACAGTTGTGAAGAAAATGTAATATTACGAAAGGGCCATTGGAATTTTTGAAAAAATCGACGTCGACAGATTTGTTTACGGAAAAATAAATCTGTCGATATATAAATCTGCTAATTAAAACTGTTGTTAAATTTAAATCTACCAAGTACTTGATGGCAGACTTTAGAATTACGGCAGATATTTTTGAGGTGGCTGATTTATTTGCCCGATTTATGGTTGTCAACCGATTTATATATATTAATCTGTCGCATATGTAACCGAGTTTTAAAAATTTCGAGGTTTACTTTGGATCAGTTACATTTTTAAGACCGATTTAAAATTAGAGGCAGATTTGTTTAGCCGATTTAGTTTTTTAATCGATTTTTGTATTCATTTGACGGCAGACTTTTTGAATTTCTGTCTTTGACAGCAGACTTATTGATTAAATATAATTACTAGATTAGGCCACATTAATTATACCAGACATAACCACACGAATTTTTGGTTAATTTATCATATATTTTGGTTTATTTTGTACTGGTTCCGGTTTATATTAATTTTGGTTTTAATTAATTTTTAAATTTGGTTTAAATCAAATTAATTTTCGGTTTAACAATTTTTAAACAATTAGGGCTTCCCAATTTTTTTTGTCGTCTTCCTCTTATTCCCTGTCACACAAGAATACGTGAGACAGTTTCATGGTGATTAACGACAGGAGCTTATAATTCATATTGATTGGAGATATGAATCACATAATTCTCATCTCTGGAAACTGGAGAGTTGAGAAAACTAAGTGGTCCTTTGAAGTAGATAACGAGAGAGGTAGCATATTAGTTATACATCAAAGCTTTTTAGAGCTCGACCACTTTTATATAAAAAGCCTATAATGTTATGGAGTTTTTTTTGCTAAGTCACTTATATTAGTAATTAAATATTGAATCCAAAATTGTATATGGCCTGTGTGAAAACACATTGTAATACACTAATACTATCAGCAAATGACGGTGTAAACCGATTCAATAGGAAACTATGTATACCAGTGTCAACAACAACTCAAGAACCGATGGTAACACTCTGATCCCTCAACAAGATCTTCTTGGCAGTAACCCATAGGATCTCTGACCAGCAATGTTATTCACTAGTTCAAATTTGATTCCCAGCCTTGTTGCTCAAGTTTCTCTCTTTTAACCATGTTCTTCTCTAATGTCTTTCTGGTACTGACTCTTCCTGACCAACCAAAGGAAACCCACAAGTTATATTCCTTCTTGTTCACTCTGACTGTATGTAAGAAAAGATAAAATAAGAACCTTGAGACGAGATCAGTATCAGAGATCCCCAGCATCCGAATATCAAGCAAGGCTCCGTTGGTGGAGTTGTTTATTGCAATTGTTGCTACAGGAACACCTTTAGGCATCTTTGGTAACCAAAAAAAAAAGATAAAGTTCGAAAACTGCAAGCAATTAATAGCTAAGTGAAACATAAAGCAAAGTGTACGAAGGAGAGAAATGAATCAACACCATCCAGCCGAGTATCACTTACAGGAACAGCAACCACAGGCAAAGGAGTGAGTGAAGCAACCACACCTAGAAAAAGAGACATTTATTTCAGAAATTCTAGTATTTTTGNTAAAGTTCGAAAACTGCAAGCAATTAATAGCTAAGTGAAACATAAAGCAAAGTGTACGAAGGAGAGAAATGAATCAACACCATCCAGCCGAGTATCACTTACAGGAACAGCAACCACAGGCAAAGGAGTGAGTGAAGCAACCACACCTAGAAAAAGAGACATTTATTTCAGAAATTCTAGTATTTTTGTAGGGACATGAAGAGATCATGTTTAAGACATACCTGCAAAGTGAGCAGCACCACCAGCACCTGCAATTATCAGACTATGAGCTGAGTGATTGTGAATACACTGTACCTCTCCCGACATATTTTTCCACACAATGAAACAAATTCTGCTAGCTTCCTTCTTGTTCCCAACGTAGCTTCACCTTAAAGAAGAAGACAAATGGTGATATTGGTTCATCTTCAAGTTGAATCTCTTCGATTTTCTTCGTTTCTCTCCGCACTCGTGCATATCAAACAGAGAAATAGCTATCATAACCACACCCCTCACGAAAATTAAAGCCAAAACAGAGTATGAAAGATCTAGTTTGAACCCTAAGAAAACTCAAATCGATGAAAACAGTACAATTTCTTAAAAACACGAGGCTGGTTGAGAATTGTCAGTCACATAGATAGACGCCGCACACTCCGACACCAGAACACATCACCTTTCTCCGATGTAGATCTGAAAAACAGTTAACACCAGGCCGACTCCCAGATCTATGCAAGAGAAGATCTCGGAGCTCGCCGGAACTCCAAGAGATTCGTCAACAGACCTACCACGAACAGAAGTTGAGAGAAATTAGGGATTTTTTTTTTTATATTATTCCTTCTATCTTCTAAAAGAGCTTCGAGGGGTTTTTGGTACTTTGGTTCACCCTAAAGATTAGTCTAGTAATTACAAAACTTTAAAAGTTATTCTAGTCATTACATGTATTATTTGAGTCATTATAAGTAATTTCTCATTTAGCTATATGTATTTAGTTTTGTGTTGATTAAACACTTTATAAGTTTAATTTAGTTTGATAAAGTCTTTGTATGTGATTTAGTTATATATATTTGACCTCTTTGATTTTGGGTTTTGGAAGACTCATGAATACTTAATAACAGTTTCCTGCTAAAAATTTAAGTTTTCCGCTTAAAATTCTACAAAAACTTAGGTTTCTGGCTTAAAATTATGTCTTCTAATGTCTTGTAAAGTCTTCCACGTAAAGTCTTCCAAGGAAAGTCTTCTAGTGTATTAGTTCTTAAAATAATTTATACATTCCATAAAAAATATATTGCTTGGGGAAAATCATAATCATCTAATTACAGACATTTGTAAGTGATATAAATTTAAACTTAATAAAATTGAATTGTTTTCAACATAGATGAGTGAATGTAAGTTAGTCATGATATTCTTTGATTTAAGGTTTGGTAACTATGTTGTAGTATCGTATGTGTTCTTAGGGTTAGATTGTGGAAACTTTAACATTTTTTTTTAAGTAGATTTTCGTTATATGCGTTTAGTTTTGTGTAGATTAAACATTTTATAAGTTTAATTTAAGTTTAATAAAGTATTTTTATGTGATTTAGTTAGATATTTGATTTTGGGGTTTCAGAAGACTTATGAAGACTAAAGAAGGTTTACGAAGACTTAAGAAAACTTACTGGAAAGTCAGCCAAACCGGAGTAAACCCTAATTTTTACCTTCAATTTGAACAAAACCGGAAATAATTACGTCAAACCTAACCAAGATAATAACCGAACATATAAATACCATTTTTCACATTTTGTGGTAAAAAAGATGATTTCATAGGCGAGTTCCGGCGAATCTCGTTTCTCCGTCGTTCTCACCGCCGGTAAGCTACTTTCCGGTGAATCGTGTTTATCCTTCATGGGTGTAGAGTATCTTAGTAGGCTAAACTAGCCCGAGTCTTTTATTTGCAGATCTGAAATTGTTTGCAATTCGGTTTTCTGCCTCCACCGCCGGTAAGCTCTTCTTCTTTGCTGTCGAGTCTATGTTTTTCGACACTATGCTGACTTCCTCTTCCCCGTCGAGTTTTTCAGATCTGTAAGCACTTGCGTTCAGTGGCCATAACTTCACTGCTTTAGACTGTAAACTTCGTCGGTTTCTAGTGTAAGTTCATCCATTTGTTCGATTTTCTAATCGTTTTATGTATTAGGATTAACACAATTTTCAGATATGTATAGTATGATTATGGTTCTACTGGAAGATTTAAGTAGACTTTGGAAGACATACTGGAAGACCTTCGAAGACATCGGAAGACCTACTAAAAATCTTCTAGAGTCAAAACTTTGGAAGACTTACTGGAAGACTTTAAGTATGTCTTCCGAGGTCTTCTAGTAGGTCTTCCAAAGTCTTCTTAAGTCTTCCGAGGTCTTCCAGTAGGTAATCTTAAGTCTTCTTAAGTCTTCCAGTACAAATCGTTAGTTTATTTCTCCTTTTTTGTTTGGTTTGTGTTTGAGTTGTTGGTTTTTAATTGTTTTACAGAATGGGAATGGATTTACCAGAACTCCCTCAGAGAGTATTTACCCTAGTGGGGGGGGGGGGGAGTCACATCCAATGAAAAGCATAAACTATCATACTGATGAAAGAAGTTGTTTGCAGCTGTAGAGGAAGCTCTTCATAATGATGAGTGGGAGGAGCTGAAGGATTCAAGGTTGGGCGTATTCGTCAACTTCATGGAGTTTTCTTTTGATTGGGCATCAAGGCTGATTCACTTTATGCTGTGTTACCAACTTGACATCAAGAAGAAGTATGAGCTTTGGTGTTTCGTTGGTCCAGAACCGGTGATGTTTTCACTAATAGAGTTTGAAAACCTCACTGGTTTGAACTGCGACTACATTGAGTACCTGGAAAATCCAAAGGCTGAGGTTACGAATGAGATAGCTATTTTCTTGCAGAAGATGGGTGTTGATGTCAAAGCTGGTCCAAGTGCTGAAGAAATAATAGCATCATGTAAGAGATGCCAAGAGTGGTCTCGGTATGATCGCATGCAGCTGGGATACCTAGCCATCTACGCTGACTACATTGAACGGAGAAAGAGCTCATCCATTACACAGGCTAGTCTTGCAAGGCTAGTGATGGATTTAGATGAATTTGAGAATTATCCATGGGGGAGAGTGGTGTTTAAAGTGCTGATGGACTCTTTGAGAAATAAAAATATTACAAAGGGTTATACAGTTGATGGCTTTATACAAGTTCTCCCTTACGAAACAAACCGAGTATACCTTTACTGGCTTACAAAGGTGGCAAAGAACAGAAATTTTTAAGAGAAAATTACTAGAATGTTATAGAAAAGTTGGTATATTACTAGAATAACATACATTTTCTAAAAATTACTAGAATGATTTTAGACTCCTAGTAAATTTCAATAAACACCCTTGTTTAATTTTGTTACTATTGATACAAATTTTAATTGTTAAATCCACATCATAATTAGACAATCCACGTCACTAATTTGTGTCATCATCAGTTACACTGGAAATTCAACCGTTCCATATTCCGGTGAATTAAAAAAAAGTCATAATGTCACAACTTCCGTTAAACCCTAACCGAGTACGAAATCACGAAATCATCTTCGCAACAACTAATACTCTCGTATCAAACTGTTTCTGATATCGTAAATCAGAACGATATTTCTTCATCAAATGTGGGTGTCGAAGAGGAATTGGGCGCTTGGTGGGCAGAGAAGCCTGATTGGATGCTAACTAGAGTTTGGCTTGCGCTCGTGGATAACTTTGGACCTGATAACTTTGATTTTCGAATGTAATTAGTCATTTTAGTTTGGTATTTGTGTTTTTTTGAAAAACTCAGCCATAACGTTTATGTAACTCAGCCGCAGTAATATTATTAACTCAGCCGCAGTATATTATTAACTCAGTCTTTTATTTAACTGGGCGGCGGTATTCTCTAACTCAGCCTTTTCTTAAACTGTGCCTATTATTTAACTCAGCCGCAGTATATTATAACTCAGCCGTAGTAGAACTATAACTCAGTCCTTGCATGTCAATAACTCAGCCATAATTAGAAACATTAAAATCAATAACTCAGCTGTAATACAACCTAGTCTACATAATTGAAATCAATACAACACTTTTAAATCAGACAAGTTTTCGCATTATGACCACTCTGTCTACATCGAGAACATGTGTGTTCTTTCCTAGGACGTTTGTTTTCAAGCAACCTCTAAAGCAGATTTCATCATATTTTTCTTAGGCCTTCCTGGCTGAAGACGAATAGACGGGGGAAAGCATGCTAGGTTTAGCACGTTATCTGGAACTGGTAGCTCTGAATCAACCGGATGCTAGGTTAAGCACGTTATCTGAATTGGCGTATGCGCTCACCAAATAAGCGCTGGTATAGTAAGGACTGCACATGGATATACGACAAACATTCATGGACTCCACAGCTGCAATTGCATGCGAACATGGTAATCTCTCCAGTTTGAAACACCGGCATGTGCACTTTCTCCTTTTCAAGTTAACAACATGCAAAGACTCACCATATGTAACTTCAGTGTGATGAGTATTGATCCTTTGTACAGTCAACAGTCTCGCGGTAGTAACACGTTCCTATTATAAATAAAAAATTAACAATGAAAAACATTAGAGACTGAGTTATGAAATCTACTTAGGCTGACTTATTAAATGATACAGCTGACTTATGAAATCTATTTAGGCTGACTTATCATTAATACGGCTGAGTTATGAAATCTAATTAGGCTGACTTATTAAATGATACGGCTGACTTATCTAATAAGTATGGCTGACTTACAAGTAGTAGTTTCTCTACAGCACGTGTAAGCATGGTTCGCTACGATTCAGCATCCTCTTTCCGTTCAGCAAACCATCTGGTCATCATAACCTGTATCGATTCTAGTAGTCGAACAATGTTAAGACCTCTAGCATTTGATAATGCTCTATTCATTGATTCCGCTATGTTTGTAGTCATCAAATTGTACCTTTCGCCTGGGAAATGAACACGCGCCCACAGTTTGACATCAGCTCTTTGGAGGTACCCATGAAGGTCATGATTAATAGTTTCAATCTCCTCGAACATTGCATTAAATTCAGGCATCCTGAAACATCTTGCCGCTTTCTTCACCAGACGAAATACATCTTTTCCTTTGTACCGTCCCAAAATGTTCTTATATAAATGGTACGTGCAAATTCCTCGAGAAGCCAACGGATACACATTTCGAATAGCCTTCCCAATCGAGTTATCCATATCTGAGATTACCGCAAGACCCTTGTCGTTAGGAATCAAAACTTTTAGTTGTGTAAAAAACCAGTTCCACGAATCGTTATTTTCTGTATCAA